GTTCATCGACTAAAATTGAATTCCTACCGAAATAGCGGAGCTACGAAACAATCGAAAATTCGGGAACAATTCACCAAATTCAACTTCATATTAATTTCCGCAAATGTAGGGGAAGGTGGGGAAATTCGGAACGTGGGGAAATTCGGAACACCGCCAAATTTCGCCGCAAATGAATAGTTTGGGACATGTGAACAACTGTCATCGTTTTCTCTAAACAAAACCTCATATTTCCATTAGCACTTGACGAGTGTGTACGTGCGTCATCGACATGAAATCAAGTCATGAAAATTTAATATTGAGAATGTCTGTCTGCATTGATTCCATAACATTTTTCGAAAAATCAACTCAGACGAATATGTTTATAATTATCGTATACCATTAATATTTCAACTCACAAAAGGAATTTTGCATGAAAATTCATTGACTGACCAAAACACGATTATGTTGTAAACCTTAGTGAGTTGGGGAATTTCGGAACGCCCTATATACGAAAAATTCATCAAGTGATTTTTAATACTTTTCAAGTTGATATCGCTTTTTTATGTATATTTATTTTATTTCATGCAAAATTTTGGCAAAATACTCATTGCAATTTATGCGATCGAGCTGTCCACCAAAATGATTGGTAGCTATTTCACAGGCAACAATTACAGATCCGACTAACAACAATCGCTATTTTTGAACTTTTTCCTCATTAAAATTAATTCTTCTGTCTTTTCCTAGATCTCCATAAACGTTTTGCATCAAAATTGTTTCAGTTTTCTATTCATTTATGAAGTGTTCCGAATTTCCCCACCATTTTTGAAAATCGCAAAATCAAGGGTTTTTTTTGCCAACAGGGTACATTTTTTCAACTGATTCGAGTTTCAACAAGCGACAAGTGCCAAAAGTTAGATTTTTACATTTACTAAGTCGTACCACTTTAGAATTTGGAAAAGTGTTAATTTTTTAGAACGTTATTAAATTATTTCGATGTGTGTTCCGAATTTCCCCACCTTCCCCTACGATTTTCGGAAAATTTAGTACGGTTTTTGTATGTTTTAGAACGATTTTTGGTTTACCCTTTCCTAATACATATTTCGGAGATTCGCCAAAATCCATATGGAAATCCGCAAATTTTGGTGCAGTAGTAACAATAAAAACATGTATCTTATCTCACATTCAAATAAGTCAGTTTATTTGCTTACACATTATTATTCAATTTACATAGTCAATTCTAAATTCATCGTCTTAGATACATGTAAATGGGTTATACAGAGCCTGTTTTTTGTTGTTGTTTTTATTTTATAGTATTTTTTTTGTAATGTTTCGAAAATATTGGTAAAAGTTTAATACACTCTTATTGTACATTGAGTTGTTTCTTTTTTTGTTTACTTGTTTTTTTTTCCTGGGGGGGGGAGGGGGAGAGTTGTAAAATGAACGATAGAATGCTGCATATGCTTCGGAAATATGATATAGTTGATTTGCAGGCATTCGTTAAGTTCATTTGTTTGTCTTTTTTTCGGTTCAATTTCTGTTGGGGAGAGGTTAAATAAATAATGCCATCGATAATCTCGGCAACTTCATTTTATGTTTTAGCTTTGTTTAAATATATATCCTAACGCTGAAAATGCTTAGAGTATATAAGAAAGCGGATGCAGTATCCAATCTACCACTTGTTAACATTACGCGCACTTCAATCTGCCTTCTGTTTGGTAGCTGATGATAAAATCAAAAACTGGCGAAGAGAATGAGTGTGCTGAGTGTGTGTGTGTGTGAGTTGATTCATAACATTTGTGTTGTAGTTTATTAATCGTCATCGGACGAATTATTGTATTCATGATTGGCCAGCAGTGTGGTGTTGACCTCGTGAATTTCATTTTCCTGCAATGACATTTTGCAATATATTTTCAAATAATTTTTTTTCGGTCTTCTCTCATTTACTATCTTGTCTTTATCTATGAATAAAATTTTTTTTTCAATTGGTTGAAAATAAACATGAAACACTCACCGTCTTGATCTTGATACGTTTGCGTGTGCAACAGCATCGACCGCACAATTTGTCGGTCATAACGCAGTACAGGAAGAAGAACAGACAAATGACAAACAACAGACTGGCGAATATGAACGATGCCGAATGATCGGATGGATTAATCTGCAATTAAAACAGAATGACAATGTCATCGAGTCAGGGAAAAGGGAAAAAAATCAAAACGTGTAAATTGAAGATGTGAATGTTCAAGTGTTACCGGTGATGTCATCGCCCTGTAAACGATTGATGGATCGATATACCAATATGGTTTGATTGTGTTTGGTAATTTATCGTTTGCTTTGTTTGGTTCCTCATTTTGCATTCGTGGCTTTTTTTTCAACATATCATTCCGCACCGACTCCAATGCTACGGAAAAACCGTGAAAAATCAATCAATATTTGTTTTGTTTTTTTCCTCGATAGCAAAGAACTTCCACGATTCTTGACATGGTTCTCGACTTGCCCAAGCCAAGGAAAAGAAAACTTACTACTTTCATGTTGAACAGGTGCTAAAGTGGTTGTTTTGGTCGGTGTTGCATTGGTGGTTACTTTAAATAGTTGTGATGATGCGACCGTTGATCGCACTTTATCTACAATTCCGACCGAATTCACGGCAACTAACTCATTCTTATTGCTGTTAACGATTTTATTGATAAGACTTTTCCAGGCGTATTGTGTGGTAATCTCTTCACTAACAATCGGTGGATTTGTTATTGCTATCACGGTTGCTGCTACTGCTGGTGGTGGTGGTGGTGGTGGTGGCGGAGGTGCGAGCTGGTTTGGTACCTTGACTGGCGTCTGGCTCACCATCACATCATCCATTAAATGTATTGCATTTTTGTCATGTGCTTCATTTCCGAATGCAATCAATTTGTTGCTGTTGCTGTTACTGTTACTATTGGAGCTGCTGCTACTGGCTGCCTTCAACGAATCGCTGACACTGTGATAGATGGTGCCTTTGTTGTGTTGTTTATTGATTTGTTGTGATACCAGATTGCGTTCGAACCAATTGATATTGTGTTTGTTTATGAATCGCACCACATCATCTTTATTCGATAGAAGTAGTCCAGCGATCGCAATGAATGCAACAATCATAAACAATACCGCGTAAATTGGTCATCTACGCTTACGATGTCGATGATGGATGCCAAACATTTGTTTGCCATCGACACCGTCGTGTTGCGGTAAAATGGTATATTGCAAACTGTTATCACCATGTCTGATTGTTTTGTACATTTTGCGTTCTTAAAAATTCCTTCTTCGATTTTCCTCTGTCCTATCAAAGCACCACAAAATGTTAATAACAAATATAAAAATTATAATTTCTTTCGAGACAAAAAAAAATAAAATTCTATTTTATTTTAAGTTTTACTTTTTTTTTCTCAATCGAATATAAATTTCCTTTTGCTGGAGAGACTTGTATGTGTACGTATCGAAACACCAAAATATTTTTGCCTGATGGTAGAGTTTTGCGACGATAGAGAGTGAGCGTGTGAGAGGAGAAAGGTGAGATAGAGAGAGACAGCGAAAAATAAATATATATATAAGCGAATAGAAATGTTTGGAACTGATGCGCAAAAACCCTTTTCCGATTTTTGCTGTGTGTATTTATTCCGTTCGTTTATCGATGACCTGAACTCGAAGTCGAAAAATGTCTTACCACACAGTGTGTGTTTGTGTGTATAGGATACATTCCAGCTGGGAAAAGTGACGCAAATCTAAAATAGACGTCGTTCGAGCTCCACTACAACCGTAGAATGTGGTCGTTGCGCATGCTTCAACCACAAATTCAAAAATACTCACCATTGTTGCATGAGCACATACCAACGAGAGACTTGAATTGAGGGAAAAAAAAACACGCACCACCATCTATTTCATTTTATCAATCGATAATTATTCAATAGAAAATGAATTTTAACGAATACAATGTGAATGGTCTCAAATTTAAAAGAAAAATCACATCTAAAATCGAAGGGTTGATGTGTCCAAAGACTTGTCAGCGATTTTAATGCGATCCTTGAGCAATTGCATTTTATCCTCAGGAATTCCATTTTTGGCGCCACCTTTCAAAAGAAAATGATGCATAAACAGGCGAATGCTATCCTTGAATGCTTTCAATTGCGTACTCGGTGCAATACGTTGAAACACCTGCAAAATTTTAATGGATTTTTAATGACATTTTCACTTTTCAGACAGTGATTTTCGCGTTCTTATATTATAAAACACTTGTATTTATTCACCTCTTTGCATATTTCCTCTTTGCCTAGCAGTATTCCCAACAGCACTTGTCGCACCACTCGCAACATGACTTTGTCCAATTCACCGAATTCAATGACCTTTAGTACGGATATAGCTTGTGCCGCATTCGTTATCAAATGCACCAGGAGCTGGGCCAAATTTGTCGATTGGGTTTTTGTATGTGACTGAATGTCCTTAATACGATCCCAAATAGCATATTGGATTGCCAACTGATGAAAAATTAACAAAGAATGGTAACCAGTTAAAGAAGAAAGTAAATAAATGTTAGAAATAAAAAAAAGTTGAGAGAAAGGGATGAGTTAAAAAAAAATTGCATTTAAATACACGGCACACTTACTTGGTACTTTCGATCAAAATCACAGAATTTTTGCGCGACAACGGCATAATATGGATTGAAAGTCTTTTCGGATAAGCAACAGTGTATGATAACCGATACAATGACCCGATGATCTTTGATGGCCAAATGCAAGATTTTCTCGAATGCATCAATGTAATCCTGGAAATTCATGGAATATTTAATGATTTCAGTTCAATTGAATTTTTTTCCGATTTTTTAAATTTAAATTACTCACTTCGGCACTCATCAGAATGCAAAATACATTGCGCCGTTCGTCGGTATTCATTCGTTGCTTTCGAGCCAATTCTAGCAATTTTTCGCTAAATTTTTGTTCATTCTTTTTCGATGTACTGGTTTTGGCCGCACCACTAATGTCATTTATATTACCCGTCCATGCCGAACCAACGACCCACCATTTACCACGATTTTGAACGTTCACCAAATCTTCCAACGAAATATTCAATGTTGTCACATATTTGCCATTGACACACAATGTTTTCAGGATTTTTCGCAAATGTTCGGCCAACGCTGGATCGTAGTTGGGGATTCGATTAACATTATTATTTTTTATCGCCGTTAGCACATCAAGCATATATTTCAAACGTGCACTGGAACCAATAAGAGCATAGTTGAATTTTTGGTTTTTGAAAAAGAGAGAAAAATCGATTGTCAATTAAATTTTTTGATTCAATAGAACCATTAGTATCTTACTTTGTTTTTAGCTTTTCCGATGCTTCGCTAGTCTTCTTCTGTATCGTTAAGATAAGCTCTTTTAGTGCAGCCGGATCATCTTTTCGCAGTGAAAATCCAACGGATCGCAACGTTAGTAAAACACATTCCACCGACTTTTCACCAAAGTTTTCGATGAGTTTGTTCAATAGCTCGTAGACCAGTCGATGATGGAAAATCTGCGATTTAATACGATGGTTTTCAAAATGAATTGAATGTTATTGAAACTATCAATTATTTGAATTGAAATTCAAAAGAATACATAACAAAAAGGCTTTTGAAAAATCAAATGGAAAAGAATGAAATAAAACGAAACTCCATACTTACTTTGAATGTATACATGTGGCACAAAACGAAAATGACATTGTCAAGTGTTTTGTCTTCGACATCGTACTGATCAATGCCGTCCCTTAGCATCTGATGGAAGCGATCGACTAAATTCTCCAGCAAATTGGCACCGACCTCAGTTCCAACGTTTGCGTGCAGCGCAGCAATCAGCAAAGCGTGTTCCATGACCATTCTTTCTGGTGCCAAAGCATGCGATATCAAGGCATCACAAATCAAAGCCGACAATGTGGTATTCATATCGTTACGTGAGTTTCGCATGTACAAATTGTCGATTTCAGTGCAGATTTTGTGCATATTCGCTTCAGATAAACGATTCAATTGGCCTTTCAACAATCGCTTCAGTTGTAATAATTTTTCCCTGCGTTTTGGGTCCATTTCTCCTTCGGTGCTGCCATTAGTCGCTTCAGCAGCCAAACGTGCTCTCAAATGTGGTGGTACGTACTTTCCGGTGCTAGTTTGAGTATCTTCTTTGATGATATTTCCATCTTTATCGCGCTTTCGTCCGTAAATATCCTCCCAAATATCTGGCTTTTCGTCTTTTGTCCCAGAACCACCACTTTGATCACTGTCGTAATCATCTCCATTTTCATCATCATTTCCTTCTTCATCTTCCAGCTCAGATTCCGGCTCAGACTCCCATTCATGCTTTTGTTTCTTTTGACTCTTTTGATTTTTCTTCTGATTTGATTCATTCTTTTCCTTTTTGGACATTTTTTGCACCTTTCCCGCCGGTTCATCATCTGAATCCTCATCTAACGATCCCATCTCCAATTCGTCCAAATCATCGTCGAAATCATTCTCTGAATCACTTTCTTCCATCATTTCTTCATCAAATTCGGGTTTGTTACTTGCTTTTAATTTTTCCAATTGGCGTTTCTTCGATGATTTCGAAACGGTGCTGATCTCCTCTGGAGCATCATCAGAGTCATCACTTTCAGCGTTATCTTCAAGAACTGAGTTTTCTTCGTCGTTTTCACTTCGTTCAAATTCGGAATCCGCATCACTCAAATCCGAAGCTAACTCGTCATTAGACTCATCAAAGTATTTGGATCCAGCTTTTTTCTTTTCGACCACCTTTTGTGCTGCCTCTTTCGCTTTCCTTTGTTCTGCTTTGATCGACTTTTTCGGGCCCTTTTCATCCGGTTGTGGCTCTAATTCACCGGTCGCAAGGGCAAAATCTTCCTGCCATTCGTTGTCTGACTGTTGATCAGCATCGGCCGCCTCCTTTGCCGCTGCGTACATTTTTTCAATATTCTCCGGCAGACACATTTCCAACGCATAGTCCAACCCATCGTGGAACATCTTCGGAACACCCTTTTTACTGCGACTTTTATCGATTTTCAGCAATTTCTCCAACTTACGAATGGTTTTGTCCTCCTCTTCGTTTGCCATTTTCAATTGTTTCACTCGCTTTTTACCCATATCCTTACGCAATGATTGCTCCTGTTTCATCAAGCGCTGATGATCGAGTTCCAATTGAGTTGCCGGCTTTTGAACGGGTTTACTACAAATGGGCATAAAATAAAGATTAGGCATTTGTAACAATGCTAAGAAAATAAATCGAATAAAAATAATGTGCGATACACAAAAAATACCTCGTCTTAGCCATGGCTTTGGTTTTCATCTCCAATTCTTCGTCGCTAAGCTCAAAATCGGATTCAATTTCCTCATCATTTTCATCGAATTGTTCATCGTCAATGAATTCATCCTCTGCATCACTGCATTTTGGTGTTTGTTTTTCCTTTGACACCGATTTCCCGTTGGTTTTACCTTTTTTACCTGCATTTTTCTGCTGCATCCGCTCTTTGTACTCGATCTTCAATTCTTTTTTCCGTTTTTGAAAATGTACACGGTTTGCCTTCTTCTGAAGTCGCTTATCTTTTCGCACTTCTTTACGTGATTTAAATCGTTCAACAGGTTTTTTCTTATTTCGGTTACCCATTTTTTTCAAATACTTTTCTCAACAACAAAAAAATCCAAGTAATTTTCACTGTTTATTAAAAAAAAAAAATTGAAAGAAAAATCGGCTCAAAATCTCAACGATCGACTTAGTGTCGGTACACGTGCGAGTTTGTGTTTATTCTTGCCGAACTTATCGATGTGTCAAAATAGAGGGAGCGAGATGGGTGAGAATGAGAGCACTAGCTGTGTGCGAATGCAGACGTTTGAATGTGTATGGCTTTGGAACTGTCAAAACTGGCAAAACGTTAATGAACGTCAAAGTGAAACATTGAACAGCACTTTAAACAACAACTGTGTGTTTTTCGTGTGTGTGCCAAAAAGGATTCCAAGGCATAATAATGTCTTTGTTTCCAGCTTATTCGAATATTGCAAGTACCTCACAAAATGACGAAACACCAGCCACCTCTACTCAAACAGGTAAATAATCGTAAATAGATGTTAGTTTTGAATAGAAATTCGGGATGAAAAATCGGCTGGTGTTGACTGTGTTTGTGTGTGTTAATATTGTTAGTTTTTTCTCACTCTGTGTAAATATGTTTTCTTCGCAGAAAAAAATGAAGACTGGTTGACAAATTCGAGTTTTCAAGTGGCTGCAAATGTACAGCGTACGGAGGCTGACGTTGAATTTATTGACTCAGATGACGATGAACCAACGACGACGACACAACTAACCAAACAGAAAAAACATTCGAAGAAAAAAAAGAAAAAAGACCACAAACATCACAAAGACAAACGACCAAAACTCGAAACAGTAAACAAAACTGAACCAAAGTCGGAATTTACAGGCAAAGAAAATTATTATGTGGATAAAAAGCCATGCAATAGCTACTATTCGATGGAAACATTGAAGCGGGATGATTCGGCCCGTTATCGTGTAACATTTCATTACGTTGGCACATTGACATCACAACAATGGCGCATTTTACATCGACGACGATCCAAAGACAAATTGAAACGATACTTTACGAAACACAAAACTGACAAAGTCAAAACTTCGGCACCGGATGGAGATGGCGGTGGTTGCGGCGGTGGCGATGATGACAAGGAAACAACGTCGAAAAATCATCGATTGAACGAGGAGGATTTTACAGCGAAAACCAAAGTTCTCAATAAGAATCTGTTGTCCAGCCCAAAGGATATCGACTTGTGGCTGGAATATGTTCGATTTCAAGATCATTTTTACATGAAAATGACCAAAATCCAGATGGCCGAACGCAAAATGGAAATTTTAAATAAAGCACTGCGCGATAATCCAAGCAATGAGCGGCTTTATCGTGAATATATTGACATTCTGGAGCAAGCATATCCATCATTTGAAGTGAGCAAATTTTTGGATGCACTGATTCAAAAAGGTATGCATTCAATGAACTCAAAATAATCTGGTTTTCTATTTTTACCACACTTCCTTGCTCATCTTTGATTTTTCACTTCTTTTCAGATCCGGCCAACTATATTTTGTGGAATGCTCAGATTATGGCGACGCAGGGTTCAATGGCACGTTGTCGTGTGCCTGATGTCATGACCTTGTATGAGAAATGCATGAAAAATATGTACAAACGGAATCGTTGTGACGATTTGACACTCAGTGAGTAGGAGTATTTTTTTTCGTTTCTTTTTTTCGTGGAGATTTTATTGACTTTTTTTTAAGTAGCCATAAACGTATTATAATGTATGTGTTAATTTCAGGGCTTTTCAACAGTTGCGCGTTATTCCTTCGTCAATCGGGTTTGAGTGAGCAGTTTTTCGCTTTGTTAACATTGGCGCTTGAGTTGAATGTGAGCGAGAATAAATTTTCGAAAATTCAATCGAAGGAATCGGATCAGAATTCGTTGATCGAATATGAGGAGATTGTATTAAAATCCGGTTTGCCAATGAATGAGATATGGTTGCGTGTGGAAAAACTGCGACAAAACTACTACTTTTTGCCATGTCCAATGGATCGTTCATGCAGCGATCCGCAACGTGTTGTTTTAAATGAAGATATCTACCATTATATTTATCCATTATCGAATCGTGACTTTGCATTCAATTTGGTGATAATAGTTTTGAGATTGTTGAAAATCCCGCTATTCGATAATTGTCGCTTAAAATCGAGCATTTTCAATACGTATGACGTCAGCAATTGTGATAATCTCTGTGACTTTGATTGTATCGAAGAAATAACGCCAATTTTTCTGCATCGAACCATACTCCACACCAACAAAGTGTTTGATGATATTTTGTGGGGAATGATCCGTGACTTTAGCATTGGCCCATCGTTTGTTACCACTCATATTGGCCACGAGCTGTACATAAAATATTTGGGCGAAGTGCTGCTGCTGTGTGCGGAATGTTTCACCAATCGCGCCGATCAGTCGTACAAACGGAATATATTCGTGTTGCTGCTGCTGCGTTTGGAGCGAATTGTGATGGCATTTGATGTGTACATGAATAAATGGAATGAAGACAAAACCAAACGGCTTCGAACGAAAATCAAAAACCTTTTGAAACGCGATGAAAATCGAAATTGTTTGGTATTTTATGTGGAATTTGCACAGATCGAATACGATTTGAAGCGATTCGAACAGGCCGAACATATTTATATAGCGGCAATTAGTCAGAGCAATCCAACGATTGATGATGATTGCACACGATCCGAGTATTGGTATGTGTGTATATCGTTAATTGAAATGTTAATCCGTGAACAGCAGTTGAATAAGGCGCTAAATTTGCTCAATGCAATTGCATTGGATAAGAAAATCGATCCCAAAGACTATGAGGCCAGCGAAATTAGTGAAGCGTCGAATTTGTTGGCATCGAAAAAACTCGATGAACGCTTAAAAAATATTTGCTTCATCGAACGCAATGTATCGATTATGGATATCGTACAAAGTTTCCAGCCCGATTATTTGATGTGTGTGATTAAAGCCAATGTCTACCATAAAATATTGTGGCGAAAATCCAAAGATGATGCCGTTAAACAATTGGACGTGTTGCTCAAGTCATTCCCCGAAAAAAATCACCGACACGAATTTATACGCGAGCAATTGTACGAGATTTATGCCAATTTGATGCTATACAAATTGTCACGTAGTTTAAGCACGGTGACATTGACCGCAGAAAATGAAACATTTTTGATGGTCAGCCGTGGTCTTGATGAATTCCCAACCAATATGCACTTGCTAAAGTGTGCAGCCATGTGCCATAATCAACCGTGGCATCGGATACGAGCACTTTTGGTCAAACATCATTCACCCATTGCCATCATGTTTCTCGTTGTTGCCGCTCAGTTTCGTTATAAAAAATATGCCAATACACAATCCAACACGAACCCAAGTCTGTCCGTCGATTTGGATTATTTGAACGTATTGTCGGCCGATGTTAAAGACATTGAAAATGCATACAAAACCCGAGTTACCAATCTATTGAAGATGTTCACCGATCACGAGGCAGCCACTCGCAAAAACTCTTTACTATGGCGACTTTACTTACGAAGTTTGCTGGATGTTTCGAACGATTTCGATAAATGTCGCAACATTTTATTGACGGCACTCAACGAATGCCCTTGGAATAAAGTAAGTTCAATCGATGAAGATTACATTTTTCGAAGAATACATTTTTTTTTGTTTCCTGAAGACATGAAGTTGAAAATGAACGCAATTAACGAAATTTTTCCATTTTCAGGCACTTTATCTCGACGGAACAGTGTATGTGCCACAAGAGTTGGCTCATCTTCAAGATTTGATCATCGAAAAGCAGCTACGAATCTATGCAATGCCCGAGGAATTGGAGATTCTACGGAATTTTGATGAAGTTAAATAAATTAACCCATATTTTTAATTCAATCTAAACTTCTAATCAAAATAAAAATTTAAAATAATAGAGAGAAAAAAATGTGAAAAATAAATGTTTACAACGGAGTTCATTTTCATGTTGTGGAAAGTCTTTTTTTTTGACCAATTTTATTGATAAAGTTCTGTTAAATCGTAAGAAAACTGAATATTTTCCGAATAAAAAGAAATGTAAATTGTGTCGATGCTTATGAGCGTACGGCTGATGTGGCTGGCACCGCTGATTGTGTGGGCAATGGATCAATTGGTGCGAAGAATACATCACGATCAATGCCATCTTTGGTAATCACACCAACACGACACACACCACCAGAGCTACCGTCAAAGTACATGGCATGCCAAATAGCTGTGAAAGATTTTAAAATTGATTAGACAAACCCATTTTTATGTTTTATTCGCCTTTGACTCGAAACATTCGAGCAAAATCATTACCTTTCTTGACAAATTCAACGGTTTCATTACGGCTCATGCCTTCGCGGTAAAATTCCCGAATGAAACCATGTACGTATGAACTGCCCGATCCGCCAATGGCATAGCCGCGTCGAATGCACATACCACCCAATGGCACCTGGTACACTTGGCCACCTTTCTGTTTATCCCAACCAGCAACAATAATACCGGCTAACAATTGATCACGATAATTAAAGCAATAGTTTTGGATTTCAGCGGCTGCTTCGGCTACCAATGGCTCTTCGCCCGTTTGATTTCTAGTAACAACAAAAGAAAAGAATAATCGTGATGAAATTTCCACAAAAAAAAATTCACATTGAATTCATGGTTGATCAATAATCCCGTTTGTCTTCAATTTTTTTTTTTTCGAAATAATTGCACACCACACAAAGCCATATACTTACTCATGGAAATTAAGTGAATAGGAAACAATATCAGCGATTGCTTGTGTATCAGCGGCTGAACCACTGCGGCAACAGTAGATTTTGTCCGAGATGCGAGTCAACTTGTCGGTGACACGGTTCGAAACGTATGTACCAGACGATGTACGTGAATCGGCTCCAATAACAACACCACCATCAAATTCCACGGCCATAATCGTTGTCTACATATTTCGAAAATGTTTAACCAACTTTAATGCGTGACCAAATCAAATTGTTATAAATTTCAATTCAACATTTAGATCTACTTACGCCGGTACTTTCTTTGGCGGTCAACCAATCATTTGACATAAATTCCATGATGAATTGCTTTTACTTTGATTTTCTGTATACGAGAAGGAAATTTATTGGGATCAACTAAATTCGTTTCGATCGCCTTGCGAAGAAGTATAAATGATGCACGATACCAAAAAATTGCAAGTAAACGAAAATGACAAGCACAATATGGATTTGACAGTCTATTCGTGGTTCTGATTCACGTGAAGTTGGTTGGTTGCGGCTGTTCAATGTTTCTTGTTCGTTCTACTATTTTCGTTGTACTTAAGCGAATACTCAAGGGCTAAGTGCGATCTCAATATATTGAAGTATTTTTTTGTTTGTTCTGAATTTCTTTTGTTTTTCAGCTTTTCATGGGAAATTAAGTGATATTGTACATTTTTTTATTCAACATTTTAATCTATTGAATTGAAATGGTTCTCATGTAATGTAAATTCTCTAATAATTTCATCGATTACATTTTTATTTTTTTTTTAAACCGAATTTTCCCTCTTAATTTTTAAAGTAAAAAGTCTTTTATTGGGGCAAAAGTTTTCTGTTAACGTAATTCAACTTTTTTTTAAATGTATTTTCGAGCGAACATCGATTAAAAGCTTTGAAAGCGAAGAAAAAAAAATCGAATCAAAGCTTTTTCTCTCTCAACATTAATACTGTATGGACTGTTTGAAGGAGAACTTTCAATGAATGAAGGGAATTTTTCAATGAAGAAACGAGAATCTTCTATCTAGAAAGGAGAATGAATAATGTGACTGTGATTAATTTTCGTCGAATCGATTGATGATCAATGATCGATGCTGTCCCATCAATTCAAATCATTTTCAATGACGAAAAAGATAATAAAAAAAAAACTCGCCACTGTAAATACATAAACGGTATGTTTGCGAATAATTTGCGCAAAATCAAAACTTGTTTGTCCATTAAAACAAAATCAGAAATGGATTCAGTGAATTATGCCTGTTAGAGGTTGATCTATTTATAACCGTAAGACTAATTTCGAAAAATCACAGGCTAATTGGAAAAAAAAAAGAAGAAACAACAACAACAAAACGCTTTGATTTACTGTTCTTGAGCGCATTTCTGTTTTGTGTGTGCTGTTCTTTTTCTTTTCATTCCAAACTTTTATTTCGCAGTTATCTGCCGAAGTGGTCAAAAATCAGTAATCCAGATCGTTCTCACATACGACAAGAGTTGAACGACGAGATATAATCGGTTTTTTGTTTATGTTATGCGCTTCGTAATATGTCAATGAGCAATATGATCGACTCTTTAAGCTGCACTATAAAATCATGAAATTTCTTTTGAAAATGTCGTGAATGGCATACATTCATATTGAAACGAAATGGCAATTGACACTAATGGAGAGAAAAATTGACAAGAGAGAAAAATTGAATGGAATAAAATACTTTGTGAGCAATTTTCTAGCACGGTCATCAGCATAGCATATATTTTATTTATTTTGATTCAAGCATAAACATCCTCTTGCTACTTTGTTGTGACAGCCTCATCATCGAGATATATCACTCGACGAAAACGAATAGTAAGACGAAGCGAAAATCAATCAATATTTATAATAATTGAGGGGACTTCCAGCATTGCTCTTGATAAATAAGCTCAGTTTTCAACACAATTGTTTCAATGCACATGTTATTTACTGATTTTTGCTCCTTTTCATAACAAACAATTTTTATTTCGTTACTTTGTTTGCATTTGGTTGTTATTTTTTCGGGAGTTATTAATGAAAATTCCAAGGCTTGGCTTTCACTTCGTTGTTTATCTGTCATTTTAAATATCAATTCTCGATATCGGTCGAAACTGTGCAACAAAGCGAATCGTCTGTAAACTCGTCAATAATTCATTAAGTTTGTATTTCTCGGTGTATTTTATTATATATATTTTTTAACATGCGATCGGATTATCTTGCGGCAAGCAAAGGCAGCAAGAAGGAAAAAAAGGCACATATAGAACTGTTTTTGCACGTCGTTCTATGGACGTTGTCAGGTAATGAAACTTTTGTTGGAAAATATACTGATAAGAAAGTGATCAATTTGTCAAAATAAAGCCATAAACATTTAATGTGAGAAAGGGAGAGAAACGCGATTTGGCTTTACTGCAAATGGCAAATTGCGTGAATTCAACGAGTCACACGGTGAGAAATAGCGTGTAACGATAGACAAAGGATTTGATGAACAACAACGGCGGCAGCAGCAACAACAACAACAATAATAATAATAATAATACCAACAACAGAAATGAAAAGAAAAATAGCCAATTCGGTTTCTATGTGTCGTGTGTGCGGTCGTCGCGGCACACTCGTAATCATTCTCATGATAATCTTAACATACTCGAGCTGTATGATCACTGTGTGTATTGGATAAAAATGAAGTGCTATGAATCGATCTGTGAACCGTTTTTTTTTTCTTTCTTCGATTCTATGTACAGTATAGAAAGAGCTGCTATGCCAAGTGCGAGAGGAGAGCGAATATCGAGATGGGCTGCGAGAGAGTGAGAAAGGGATAACGAGAGTAAAAGAGGGACATAAAATGAGAACCGATTAGTTCCGTCTTTGTGTCTTGAATGCAAGAGTATGTGTGGGTGAGAGAGAGAGAGCGTGTAGAGTCGCGAGAGAGTGTTTTTGCTATTTGAATCATTCAACTTGTCGCTTTGGGCGCTTTGGCCGTTTGTTTGATGATTGTTGTTGTTTTTTTTTTTTTTTTTTTTGGCGCAATATGCATTCACTCAACGCACCCGTCCGCCCGTCCCCCAGTTGGCTCAGCACAAAATCCAAACCTATACATTACATGCACACAGCCACAGTGCGAGTCGATCAAACAGCAGTGATCTTAACATCAACACGTAGACAAATGTGAACGAACTTCTGTTTATTTAGTTGGTGAGACTGAGTTCATTGTGAGTGTGCCGCACAACTCTTTTGCTCTTTCGATCGCTCTCTGTGTTTCTCTGCGTATCTTTGTCGGCTGTGCTAGACATAGTTACACTTTACAGCTTTGCTGTAGCTACATTCACAAGCGGATTGGATGCTAGAGCAACAGAAGAGAAACTATGAATGATCCCTTTACCCTAAAGCTCTCTCTCTCCAACTCTTGACTCTACTCAGCTCGGCTCTAGCCCTAATGATCAACATACGTGTGTTTGTCTCTATGAATAAGAAGAGAATAAAAAATACCAACACATAAATGCACTACTATTCGATATGTTACGATCAAACCATACATTTGAAAATAAACAACAACAAACAGCACAGAAATGGCCGTGTGTCTACAGAAAAAAAAGGTGTTTTGCAAAAGGAATAGAGTTTTCTCATTGCATTTATCAATAAATACGATTTTCCATTCATTGCAAGACGAACATTTATTGATCGAATGGCAGAGATAGATAGAATGAAAAAGTGTTCAATCAGCTTGACCAACAAGCTGAAAACAAAAAAAAATGGACAGCGATCGCTTTCAATGAGATTCATTCTTCTGCGTTGCGCTTGTTTCGGGCGTTGGGAATCGATTTTTTTTTTGCTGATTTTGATTTACATTTCAACTCTTTGTGCTGTGCACTGATGTAAACATTAATAATAATTTTTCTTTATTAATTCGGTTGATTCGGCTACATACACCGTACGTAGACACTTATACACGTAAACACAAGCTCTGTGCATGTGCACACACAAAAAAAAATACCGTGTACAATACACGTATGATGAAAGAGAGCTCTGCGAGAGAGAGAGCACCGAGCTCTGTACGATTACCATTTTCGTTGTTGGTGTTGTTGTTGTTTTCCTCTTCATGTTGTTGTTTCGGTGTTTCGACCACAGAGAGTATCGCAATGTATGTTTATTAGTTGCCGTTTTATTCTAGGCAGAGTAGAAAACGGAATGGAAACGGCAACAATGAGTGTGGAAACGGGAAAGAGACGTACTATTTCTTGTGTACACGGTCTTCTCATGTGTGTAATGGATCAACGCCACATAGACTCACTCTCGCACTACTCACTCACTCACCCATTCTCTCATTCGGTTGCGGGAGCAAGCGAGCGCGGTCTTTCTCTCTCTCTCTCTCTCTCTCTCTCTCTCTCTCTCTCGGCCTCTGTGTGTATATACGCTTCGTGTATGCTCTGTGTGTGCCGTGAGCAGCGGCAGCAACGGCAACACACAGCACCGCATGCAAACAAATGTGTGTGTACGAATGACAATCGTATCCAAAGCAAACGTTCCGCTGCTGTTTGTGTTATACTTTGTGAGGCTCATAGTGAATCGTAATCGCAACTTGATTTCAGTCAAGTTAAAGCAGGTATCGGGTTGAGCACGGAATCGCTGTGTGTGTTTTTTTTCCCTTCTGTGGCCACTCTTTTTTTTTTCTTTTCTTGTGTGTTTTATTGATTACAATAAAAAAAAAATAAAAGAAGAAAAAACGAATTTCTTTACGAAGAAACCGAACTGATCGCGCAGAGAAAAAAAAAACAGTGAAAAGAAAAAATCTATACGCGCGATATAATTTTTTTCTTCTCCTGCTAAATAGTTGTTTGGTATTTTTTTCAGCCGCTGATCTGTGTGTGTTAGTGTTTTCCTCTCTGTCGATCTATCGTGCATCACTTTGGTGTTCTTTTTTTATTCCATTCTGTTTAATTATTTATTGTTGCTTTTGTTTACTTATTTTTTTTTTTCAAATCGCTGGTTCTTTTATATCCAGAATGTTTCGACTGAATACAATGTTGTGTGTGTGTGTGTATTTGCGTTCTGCTGTTGTACTACTGCTTTTAACACGAGCAGCAACTTCTAATTCTAATTGAATTATGGCTAATTGCAATTTCATCTGTTGCGCCGTCAACGTGAATCAATTTGCCGCAACAAATAACAATGACAACCGATTCGACGCCTCTCTTCTCCCATCCATAAACAACAAGTGCTTAAAAATTCAACTTTTTTCTTCTGTGCCACAGTGAAAAAATAAAATCGTTTGACACGAAACGAAAAAAAAAAGAGTTTAACATAAAACGAACAACAATCAGTTAACAAATGCAATTCCAAAATTTGGTGCAAATGTGTACGAAAATACCCAATAAAAAGACAGAGAAAAACAAATAAAGAAAATTCTATGAGTTTTACGATCGTAACACGAGTAAGTCATTTGGAATATATTTTGCGCAAAGTTTGCAAAACGATCGCCTGTTTAAAAATTCATGATCACTTGTTGTGAGAACAAAAGCACACGGTGTGCAAAAGACAACACCACACAAATACACACACACACAAGAACAACAACATCAAGCAACGATTTCATACAAAACCTTCGATTTTCAAACAGTTGTGGAGCCCCTTGCACGTCATGTTCAAACGCCGTCAATTTGAACGAGTGCAACTCAGTATTATGTAGACACGATGAAAAAGAACACAACAAAATTGTCATACATTTATTTCGTTGTTTCTGCTTTTATTTTGGCCAAAATCCATACTCAATGTTCTTTTGCGTCATTCACGCTGCTCACGTTTTTTGTGTGTGAATCGAACGTTTTTTTTTTATCGGTGCGATATGCGGAGTGATTTAGAGTGAGAGCTGAACTGAAATAAAGGGTTTTTTTTTTGTGAATATCAATTTAAGCTTCCATTTATTGAAAAAAAGAAGAAAAGTCAAGAAATAACGACACTTCTTGCGGCAAATTTGAAATTGTATTTATAAGGAGAAAAAAAAATTGTTATAAATTGAGAAACGAACTCTTGTTGTCTCTCGGCGGTCAGTCATTCGCTTTGTTGGCGAGTACGATCACCGATCGCTGGTTCAATCTGTTCTCTTTCTTTTTATTCTTTCGCTCGCTTACTCGCTCTCGCTTTTTCTCTCCATTCCACTGTTCTCGTTTGACTTCTGCTTCTTGCTCCGCTCTCCGAGAAGTTTTCTAAAAATATATGAAATGAATAAATTCAAATGCTAAATAGTGGGTGTTCCTATCATTTCATAAAGAGAAATATACCGATTCTTCACTTCTTTTTTTGTGTTCTCCTCGTCACTGCTGACGCTGTTGCTGTTGTCGCTGCTGCTACTACTGCTACTACTACTACTTCTTCTTCTTATTTTCTGCCTCGCCAACAATTTAAACAAAATATTAATACAAAATGAAATGGCCAAGAAAGTAAAACATTGATAAACAGCGCACAGTGTGCACGTAAGCCAAAGGCGCAAAAAGAACATACACGTATTTAAAAAAGAAGGAATGGAAAAAAAAAATCTTAAAGAAAAGAAGCGAGAAAAATAAACCGTATATATAGTATAAAAGAAGGCAGCCAACAATTTGTTTAAGTGATGCGAATGAAAAATTCAAAAACACCGTCTCACGTATCAAAAACGTGTAAAAAGAGAACTCAAACACGGCGATGACGACGACAACAACAACAACAGCAACAGCAGCGACAAACAATCAAGTCGATAAAATGAATCGCGAGCTCATTTCAATTCATATCAAATGAAAGTACAATTTCGAAATGAAAATCAGATAAACAGATAAACGACAGACCGCTCCTGAGTCAGCGCGCTCGCGCTCGCTCACTTGTGCGTTCGCTTGCGTTCATACACTGATTATTGACACAAGGTAGAGTGAGTGAATGAGTGAGAGAGGGGAGGGGGGGGGGGGTAGATAGGAAAAACAGAACGGGAAAATAAGTTTGGAATTTTCAAAGTGATAGCAACGATCTACGAATCTTCTCGGTGCCAGCAGATGTGTTGATGGCACGCGCACCGAGCGACACCAGAAAACACAAACACACACAGAACTAATGAAAATAAGAAGAAAATTTAAACGAAACCAAAAGAAAAATCGATGCGAACGAACAATTTTCAACAAAAATTTTGTTGATGCGTGCGCGCGCGCGCGATGGTGTTTAACACAATTTAATTATTTGTTTTGGTTAATTTGTTTCTAGTTTTACATTTTGGTATGTAAGTGCCTCGACAATAAGTTTTCGCCGAACGAAACACACCGAAGCGACGAAACAAAACGGCAAAGGAAGATAGAGCAAAAAAAGAAAGAGAAAAGAATAACACTAACCATAAGTCACACACACACACATATATATATAAAAATTTGCTCATTAAAAGATTGTCTTGTCCGGGTTCGAGTGGTTAACGAAATAAAATTAACAGAATTGCTATTTTAAGTGAGGAAATTTATGGTAAAATTTCCAACGTCAGTACCATATATACTCTTCACCATATATAAATCGATGTATGTGTTTTTACGTATATTGGCAGTGCGGAGAAGAACTCTTATGTGTGATAAAATGAAATGTGAATGAAAATAGCACGAGAGAGAGAAAAAAAGCGAAGAAATCAAGAATTCTCTCTTCTTTGTATGAAAATTGTTTTTTTTTTCTTGTAAAATATATGTTATTGTTCTGTGAATGCGATCGCGGTATAAACGCGAATTGATGTGTCTTTGCATTGTTCGCATGTTGGAGCTTTGCACGAGTCCAATTCAAGAATTGCAGATTCTCACTCTGGTTTGGAAAGCCACAGCATCAGCCGAGCAACATGTCTAGTTGACAGACGACAATTCTTGAAAACAAGAAACACGAAAACAACAACCACCACCACAAGCAGCAGCAGCAGCAGCAGCAGCACATATTAAACGCATAATCGACGCTGGAGAAAGAGAAAAGAAATATATATATGTATACCAAATGAACCGCAGAATAGAGGCTTAAAGCTCACTGAATACAAAATCTCTCTAACAGTCCCAACATTGCAGAAATCAACGAAGAATAAAAAGAGAGCTCAACAACAGCAACAATAACATATCCACGTCAAACGCGATACTGGACCTAATACAACTGAATTAGTTCAGCACTTTTTTCTTCTGCGTCTTCATTTGCTTTGAATAAACAATACCGATCGCAAGCGCGAGACCACTGTCGCTCAAAAAGAAACACACAGAGAGAGAATAAGATAGAGCGAGAGAGATAAATAGAGATCTGTCCCCAGTTTGAAGTAAAACAACAACCGAATAACATACGAATAACAACAACAGCAACCGAAAACATGGCTCTGAATAACATAAGCAGCACAGCAAATAGTCCGAATGTAACCGCTACAAATGTAAACAATGCAACGACCAATGAAACGCTGAACTCGTCGGCAATTAACAACACGGCCGGCGTGAACAGTGTGACCACATCGACACCGAACAACTCACAGTCGGCGGCAGTTTGTGAGAATTTGGTTGTGCGCATCGATGAAAATTCGGCCGATAATTTACAGGCCCTATTCGATATGGCATTAAATCAAAAGGCACGCCCATTACAAGTACCATTTCGTATGCGAAATTTACCCGATTCATTCTTTAATCCACCGTCAACGGGCTCAAAATCACCATCCGTATCGCATACACGGGAAAATTCAGTGGATTCGGCATTCGGTTCGGGCACCACCACCATTTGTTCACCGAACGGCAATAATGCGGCCAACAACAATGCCACCGGCGCTACAAAATTAAATGGCAACGCCACAAATGCAACCACGGCGCCCATTAATCCGCTTACCAGTCGCGTACAAGCTATACATTTGCGTGCACACAGCAGTCCGGCTTCATTGCAACAAACTTATGCTGGCTTAAATGCACAACAGTCCAATGCAAATCCAATTGTTGCACAACAGGTACGTGCCTTATTTTCTTTTTTTCATCTCGTTTGTTTGTTTCTTTCTCCATTGCAATATTCGACATACCAAAGTGACGGGGAAAAAAAACAAATAAAATAAGTTGACAGTATTCTAGCGGTTTTATCCTTCTCAATTTGTTTGGAATATAGTTTCGTGAACAAGGAACATTATCCCATTGCCGCTGTTGCCATTCGGTCGCTGTTAAGAGATTCACACATACATGTGTGTTGTAGAAATAGCTAGAAAAAAATGGAAAAAAAATCTTTCAATCGAATCGGTCATTGCGATTGTAAGTCGGCGAATTGTGCACTAAAAGCTCCTTTGAATCTTTGATTCGATAGAATCTTTTCGCGACTCTTTTTTGTATTCAAATCTTGCATTAGACATAAATACACACACGGAGATTATTTTTCATGTGCCAAACACGTTTTCGAACAGTGTATGGTGTGCGGTGTGCACAAAATCCATTGTTTATGTTTACAATTTTATAAATTGGAATGCATTTAATGCTAATTTATCGATCGAGAATTGGGAGATTGGACGCGATTCGATTGATTCCTTTCTAACGTGTTCATTGCACACACATAAGGTTCATTTGCGCAATTCGCAACACTCACAATCTACAATCGGTTTTGTTTTTTTTTTTTTTTGTTTTTTTTTTTGTTCGTTTTTGCGACAGCGGCAACAAATGATCGGCGAACGATGCATGAAATCAGTCGGTCTCAAGTAACATTTTATTTGATATGTAATTTTTTTTTTCTTCTGTGTGTTGTTGTTCCTTCTGTCCGTTCATTCGGTATGTTTGTTCATTGATTTTGTCTCGTTGCTATGGGCCCATAGGTACAACAACAGCCGCCACAACATCAACAAACAACACCATCAAAAATGGTGCCAGAAGAACTTGATTCAAGCTGTCATCGTAACATCAATCAAGTGGAATCACCACTTGAAACAAACATATTCAAACAACGAACAACACAACAGGCTCAAGCAGCTGCAAATCAACCCATTCACAATCGGCATCGTTCCTATGACATAGTCAGTTCGATACAATTACAAGACGAATTGGGCGATCTTCCACCTGGATGGGAACAAACTCGAACGCCAGAAGGACAAATCTACTATTTGGAGTGAGTAATTTTTATGCATAATCATTTTTATTTTTTGAGTTTTTCTTTTGGCTCCTACTATCGAGCCACAAATCACCAACCGTATTAAATTCATCGAAACAATAATCTATAATGATCTGTCATCATAAAAAAAATCTTGATGTCAACAAATCCATTGTTTACGTATTCCTGCAAGGGAATGATAATAAATTGTGGAGGCGTCTAGCCGATGGAGCTTTTGCCCCCAGCACTTATCATTTTGTTGCAAAGGCGACAACTTTTTCGAGGACGTTTCCAATTGTTGTTTTCATTTCATTTCGTTGTTGTCTCTTGTCGTGTTTGTGCTGTACTTTTTATTCTGCTTCGTTTTTAATTTTACGGGGTTCAAGCGATCAAAAACCATAAAACTCAATTTATTGGCACATGAAAACCGAGACGAATAAAGATGTGAAAAAAATACACGTAATTCAAGTGCGCAATTATTTTGGGACCGTCCATCGAGATCGGTATACCCATTATCATTTTCGTGGTTGTCGAGATAACACCATTTCATGTTTCCTTACTTACTTCCCTTCCCCGCTCAATTCAATTCTCTCTCAGTTGTTGTTTTATTTTCTTCTGGCTGCGGTTGATTGTAAGCGACAATTTAGAAATTACTACTCATCCAACTTTATCACTAACGACACAGCATAAAATTCGCAATCAATTTTATATACCTGTAAAGAAAACAGCAACAATCAAACTCGAACGAATATACATACATGCATACGTATTTGTACAGAAAAAAAAATGGGCACACCGAGCGCACATTAACGACAACAACGGTGTCCAAAACTACGACGGAGTTATTCCGAAAAAGATAATCAATAAATCTTGAGTGTGTATGTTGTTGTTTAAGCATTCGGCTCATTTCGCATATGAATGGGAGTGATTTGTATCGTTTAAGAGATCAAGAGAGGAGCGAACCCAAATGAGTCGATGCAGAGCGAAAAAGAGAGAGAGAGAGAGAAAAATAGCGAGCCACGGAAACATAGAAAATAATTTCGCTTGAGCTATGGGCACGTATAATGACAATAACATTGCATTTCTAGCCATTTGCATAAACATAAATTTGTTGTGTGTCTCGTGTGTTTGTGCACAATTCCCGATGCACCCATGTTCTACATTTTACATTAAAAATCGGCGATTAGTGCAAGAAAAGATAGATATAGATGGACATTAAGAGAAAGAGAGAGAGAGAGACATTGTGAGAGAGGGAGGTCGAACAGAGAAAGGTAATCTCTTGAGTGAAAGAGTCCAAGATAATTAGTTTGAGAGTAAACCGTGTGATCGCCTGAATTATAACCCATTCTACAGCAATAATATCCATGCCATAAAAAGAGAGGCCTGCATGTGGAGAGCAGCAGCATCCATGTGGTTTATGATGTCGCGACACATATTGTTAAAAGATCATCAAACCAAATTCGATATATAATATCTAAGCGAATGCACACATCAAAAGGCAGAGATAGAGCGAGAGCCCAGTGTGTGTATGTAGCTTTTTGTTGAGATGTGCAAATCGCGGGCGCGAGCGCACGTACATACACATCGTACAGCCTACACAATGACGAAAGCTAAACACACAGCACATTGATGTATGGGCAACAGCGTCTAACAACAAAAATATAAAACAAACAACTGCAAAAATAATATGAACAGAGCAAGAAAAAAATAAAACACAAACACACAAACATACAACATATACAAAACAAAAATGGCAAAAGAGCACACACAATATAGTTTCGATGAGCACAGAAGAATAAAATAAAGCACAACAACAACACCACTGAAGAATGGAAGTGCCATTTTATTGCGGAACATTCACAAAAACAAAAACCGAAGAAAAAAAACAACGAAACTGAAGACCAAACCATTTTCGAGTGCATGTTCATGTTCAGTTTGCTTTTAGATAATTCATGTGAATATGTAAATATATGATTGTACAATGCTCAATAAGCGACACGATATAATTTTGATGACAAAGAAGAAGAAGAAGAACAGGCAAAAATATAAAAGAACGGTGTGTCCTCGCACAGAGCGTTCAGAAAGACAAAAAACACACACACACACACCGTACCGAGTCTTCGCGATATGCCTAGGTTACTTAATCGTTCTGGTAATAAAAGTAACGAAACGCAAAGAGAACGCCAATCAGAAAACCGAACAAAACAAATATATCTATCTACCATTGGCGACCTGAAACCGAATAGCAAGAAATACACTATTAGACAGAGACAAAGGAACAAAGTCTATTTTGTTGTGCAAAGGCATGAGAGAAGAAAAAAACAACACACACCGAATCAATCTAATGAAGAAGAAGAAGAAGAAGAAGAGAAAGAAAAATGGAAGAAGAAGAAACAGAACAGGTACATTTAACAGGGCTGCCTATCGTTACCTCAGCGCGTTGTGAGCTAAGTTTAAAGATCATTGCGTTGTTCCTGTGCTCGCGTCGCACAAGCATTCCTGTAAACGACATCTCTCCCTCTCTCTCTCTCTCTCATTTTTTTATACAAACACTAGCATGTACACCTATAGCAAAGCGGTCGAGTGCTGAGATGTCCAAATTCTCATGTATTTGGCTTCGAACTAATCGCTTCGGTTGACGGAATAAAACGTTTCCCACAATTCCGTCTCGGGACCACTCATGATCATACACAAACACATGCAAGCACATATTCTCGATCGTTCACTAATACACCTGTATGAAGCCTGCATACATTGTGTGTGTGTGTGTGTGTGTGTGTGCGTGTGTGCGTGTGTGCGCTCGCACTGCACACGGTGAGAGAAGAGAGCGCGCACAGGTATTACAAACACCGATAATAATCTTCTAAAGACGTTTTTAGAAGAGACAAAGCACGAACGAGACAAAAAAAACACCGTATATTATTATATATTATAAAGAAACGAAACGAAATGAAACCTTCACGCGTTCGGTGTGAGTGTGGGGCCACTGTTGAGTGCAAGTGTGCGCGTCTAGCAGCAGAATATTACCGCGCGATATAGACTCATTCGGTTGCGCGTTCAACTATGATTTCTTTTTATATGCGATATTTCTGGGTAACATTCTCTTTCTGGTTTCGGTTTACTTTGAGATGACGATCGTCAGATTTTTTACTTTTTTGCATTTGTTTCCCCAGCTGAATTGGTAATTTGTTGAGAGTCATCTAGTTTTTCTTTTGTATATTTGTAAGCACATTTGGAAAGCAAGAGAAATCCAGTGAAACAAACAAGAAACAAAAAAACTATCAATGATCGATAGATACGTGATTTGGTCTTAATTCTCTGGTTGCTTTGTCAATGCACTAGGCCAAACGGTGTAACGATCGTTTTTCATCAAAACTTGCTGAAAAGAATGTTCAAGTAAAAACCAATTTAATGGCTGACAAAGAGCAGCATACGCAGGCCATAGTTTCCATTAGAATCGCATTTCAGGTGAATTTTTTGCTTTGAGCATACATGTTGCATACATTAAACTGAAGCGATTAGCCAAAGGTACACTTAAAATACGTTAATAGTTGTCATCGTCATCAGCACTATCATTACTAAACATAACACGTATTTCTGCTCTTAACTGTTTTTTCTCTCTTCTCTTCTCTTCTCTTCTATATTCCTCTTTTTCACAAAGTAATAATATGATGAATTAATAAGTTGTACGTGTGTGTGTGTGTGTGTGTGTGTGAGTGAGAGAGAGACACTCACACATGCCCATATCATGAGAGGAACAAAAATAAATAAGAAGAATGAATTAAGTAGCCATGATGGAAAAAAAGGCATTAAAATGCACGTAACACAGATAGCGGAGACCGAAGAGAGAGGGAGAATAACAAAAACATCAATCAAAGAAAAGAACGTAAGACGCAAACAAAATGTACAAACGCAAAATAAACGCAGCGATTGTGAACGTTTACCTGTTTATACACACACATATGTGCGTGTCTTAGGAACATGCAATCAGCATACTGGCCAGATACCTGCCGCCACCGTTGCCGCTATTGCTGCTGTTGCTGCTGCTGCTACAATAATTTCTCTTGAACGAAAATAAACAGCTCGATCGGAGTCAGACGACAAACATACTGCATGGGCTATGCGATCCGTTGAATCGACAAAAGACAAAAGTCTTTGTAGCCAATCGCAACAAGTAAACTCTTATAGTGCGTCTCTCAGCATAGCGTTCGATTTCAGGCTATCGGCACTTTGTCTCTCGCTCATGCTCTGACTCTGTATGCTTCCTTTTCCTTCTTGTTCGTGTCTGCTTGAGATGTGTGTTGTTACTGCTGCTGCTGATGTTGTTGTTGTTTTGTCAGCGTATTGCGCCTGTTTCTGTATCGGTTCCGTTTGAATGATGTAAATATACTTTTTTCTTTTAAATAACATTATATAATAATCGTGATTTTCCTATACCTGGCGCTGGTTTTTGGATTCATGTGTGTTTTACCCAATTACCATCACATCTCGGTGTGGATGGACTCAGGAGTACGCGCTGCAAATGTATGTGGAGCTCAATGTTTTTTTTTCTCTTATTTTTCCTTCTCAACAACAACGTTCGCTGTTGTTGTTGTCGTCGTCGTAGTCATTTTTCCGTCTTTTTCTTCTTTTTCTCTTCTTTAATTAGAAGCTAAAGGCGAGATGTGTGTGAGATTAAGACTATGTTTGTCGATTCAGCGTTTGCAGTATACTCAATCGAATGTGAGCGCTCGCGCGAGAGAAAACGAGAGATATGAGAACAAAAAAAAAGTAAAGCCAACAACACTACCAACCAAAAACAGAGCAGAGTATCAACTAAAAACAGTATTTGACTTGTGTGCTGCATACAACTACATGCGAAAATAAGAATCAAATTTGAAATACATTCATGACAAAGAGATATCATACACAGAACAGAGAGAATAAGGAAACGACGCTATTCGCTGTTAGCATTTCGTAAGTCTCAAGCACACAAAGCATCGATGTGATTATAGAGAGAGATGAAAAAAAAAACACAACAAAAAGTATACAGAAAAAAACGATTGAGAAGAGAGACGAAACGAAAGCAGGAAAAAAAATCAATGTATGTAAGAAACTAAAACGAGTTGACTACAGTGTATGCTGACTGAGCGGCCGTCGTTGTATACGTCGCGACCGAATGTATTCTCTCAGTTCTCTTACTCTCTCGATAGACGATGAGTCATCATCCCGATGATCTTTGCCTACTCATTGAACAACGGCAGGCTCTCACGTCACCACATGCATTCGCTCTCCCTCTCTCTATCTCCCTCACTCTTGCTCGCTTGTTTGCTCGTATCGCCCGATTCAATCGACGACAAGGAAAAATGATGTGTACTTTTCTCAAAGTTCTTTGTTTTTCCATCTCGCTCACTACCGAGCATCGTCGATCGCGTTGAATGGCTCTCGGGTTGATTCGTTCGTGTTTTTGGTCTCGATTTTTATTTTATATGTCCATCGAAAAATTTAACGCCTTTTGATGTTTTTCACAAAGACCGAATATAACAATTAAACCGATCGGCAATCAAAAACAAAGCATTTTGTGCATTATACTAAAACATTTAAACTGGTTTCCTCTGGTCACGTTAATTTTTTTTTCGCCGTGTAATTTCAAACTTCTTTGGTAATTGCGTGCTAATAACAAATCAACCCAAAAAAAAAAATTCCACGAAAAACAAAACGACCATATGAATCCGCCGCGTGCTCATACTATGCAATTCAACCGAATCTTTTTTCAGGTGGATTAAAAAAAGGGAAAAAAAACTCGTGTTAAGATCATTTTGAACGATCAAAATCCCATTCAAACGTGTAATGAGTAGTCGTACGAAGATAAAAACGCATAAATAACACTAATGGCAAGTAAAATATATAAAACAAATGACTAAGAGCGATTATGAAATGTTGTCGAAGACACACAAACACACACATGTGTATATGAAAAAAGTGAAATGATCAAATCAAAAACCAATCAAACTGAGAAAAATCACGACACGAACAAAAAACAAACACTCAATGCAGTGTACTGAATATATCATTTGAAGGTAGAATAAGAAGAAGAAGAAGAAGAAGAAGAAGAAGAAGAAAAAAGAACAAAACTTATATTTCTCATGCTTAAAGGTACAATTAACACAAATCTATTCCACGAAATCCTACCCATCGAACATTTTTATCGGGACGGGTGATCTGATCAAATTGCAAATGGGTATATCGAGAAACAACCTCAACCCGGAATTGAGTGATGAGTCAATTAGACAGGACAGATTACTGAAATATTGAATTGTTCTTGTTGTTGTTGTGTGTTTGTTTGCCCACAATGACCACCATAGATAAACATTACATCAGGTATGGATTCGAGTGCAATTTGCACACTCACAAAAAAAAACTCTGGCAAACATTTCAATGGCAGATAACGACCGATTTCGATAATGTTGTTGCAACATACTTGAAATGCTGTTTTTCGCATGAATTTCAGCTACTTTGTTTTTGGTTGTTGCTTCTCTTCGTTGTTGCAAGTAATTGTGACATTCATTCCGTTTGACCTGATGAAAGAGGATTTTGTTATTATCGTCGTCGTTGTCATTGTCGAACTACCTGCTGTTAATCACCTGGAATGGCAAGAGGGGAAAAAATGGCATAGACACAAATATTGTGCACAAATCGAGATAATTAGGTTGAAAATGTGCACCAACAAAAATGATAATTGTTAAATCATCACTAATGAAAAATCAATCGATTGTGTGTCCGTCGAGTCAGAAGTCGCATAATATCTTAACTCTCTATATATATACTCGGTTAGTTCTTATTGATAAACACCAGATTAATATCAATCAGTGATATTAATGGGCCACCGTTTCAATTTTCGGTTCACATAAAATGTACAAAATTGCCGGCAAATTATTTTATGCGGCCGAATGTGAAACGGACGGAGGGGAGAACAACCGAAGTAAAAGAGAAAGAGAGAAGGAAAAATTAAGAGATTACAGCATTAGCACTCAATGAATCATTAAAAATTACGTAAACGATTCACTATTTAACGCCATCAAATAAAATTCAATTAAAGTAACAAAAATATATACATATCTTTATTGTTTGGGAAACCGAAACCCACTCTAGGCTCTAGGCATTGTGCATTTGAACGGCATTTGGGTTGGTGTACGTATGTGTGTGCGTGTGTGTATGTGAACCAAAACACATATATAGGCAAGAGCAATTAATTTCAAATTCAATTCCGACGCATAACACCCAACGAGAGAGTGAGAAACATTGCGAGAATAAGAACCGAAACATAATCAGCAACAGTCAACAAATGCTAACGACACGACAATTTCAAGCCCATATATATTTCTCCTTCTTTTTTTTGCCTCAATTTGATGTGTCGCGCGCATAATGACTCTAATTAGTTCCAATATTGAATTTTTAGATTGTCGATTGATTGCATTAGATGCATTGGTAATAATTGTTCGATGGCAGCGGGCTTTGATTTGATCGTTGACCAAAAGCGAAACGGGTCGATGGGAAATCGATCCGAAATGATAGGGAGAAGTTCACACCATTTTCATGGTTTGATTGCATTTGCCGGTTGAAATTCGATTTTCCATTTTGTCTCATTTCACTCTTTCACATTTGGGGAATAAGAGATCATTCATTTCGCCCTGAGATGCACAAATATCAAACGAGTGTGCGTGACCGTGTGCGCCCGATTCTTTCTTAAACCATTCTCGTTCTCACTCTCTGGGCCGAATGAAATGCGCACCATCTTTAATTGCAATTGACTGAACCAATAAATGCGATAAAAGGCCATTTAATCAAGCGACTTTCTTTATTGTTCTCTCGAACTCTTGGTGTGAGTCTGCATTTGATTGATTTAAATTAATTCAAAAGACAAATTTAAATAATTTATGCGTGCTGTACAGTCAATTGAAGCGAGTAAGATGAAGGCATTGAATGCGGAATAAAGATTCGCCTCCTATATATTCGGAGCAATTATACGTGTAATATCTTCATTTTGAGCAGCGGCCCAATGTGCTGACTGCTGGTTTGACGTTGCCACACAAAACGAAAACACATTTTTCAGTACAACACGAACAGCATTGTCTTGACAATCATGTGTGTCGTTTCGTGTTGCGAACTGAGAGAAAACGAAAAACCCATTTTGACAATCAAAAATACATTCAACGACTAATTGCTCGACATATGATTGTCGCAGCAAAGGAATTGAACTTGAATGCATTTGAGTAGAGAGATAGAGAGAGAGAGAGCGCGACCGAGATCGAGAGCGTGAGTGAAAGAAAAAGTCGAACCAAAGGGGTTCAGATTATCATCAAATGATTCAATTAAATTTCTAATCGTAAGCATTCAATTGATGTGGTAATATTGTGCGTTCGTTAGACACATCGTGCACCGAACTTGTCACTTGTGATAATTCCCTGTGTCTGCACTCTTAAATTGAGTCATACCGGCAACGAACTTGATTGCGGCCGATAAGAGGCGTGAATGATTTAATTTTCGGCATGTTGTGCGTATAATACTCATCCACTCTCGATCACATATCCGAATTGAACCAAATGTACGAAACGTGATATATTCGCACTAAGTCACAAGTGACGTTTTTTTGTTGTTGCAAAAGGCAGATTTTACAAACGCAGAAAAAAAAATTTGCGCAAAAAACCCATTTCAGTGACGATTTGATCGTTCTGTATGTATTGTAGTAGCTTTTTTTTTTATACACATTTCCATGCGGTTGTTTGTTATTTCGTCTCACCGAACTTCCGGCCCATTCAGCACAATGTGCACAAAACTGTCTGTTTGTTTGGTCTTCGCGTTATACACAGACACACATTGTGAATGAATAAGCGTTCATTGTTGAAAGTGATGCGCGAATAACGGGATAACAATCACAATAATAATAATAATCATCATCATCAAATCGCATTACATAGAAGAAAATGTACACAAAACACAGCCAAATCAAACACGTATAGAGGCGAATGTGAGGCAGAAAGTGGGAAAGAGATGAAGAGAGAGAGAGAGAGAGTATTCATGCAAACGGTAGAAAAGATCGAGAGTGAGAATATGAATTGCAAGAATGAAATTGGCTGCAGTTTGGCCGATCACATCATTCGCACTAGATGAAACGCTACTAAAAAGATAACAACATTTGCAGCATATGAACGATTGGCCTGAATTTAATTAATTTTTAGTCATTTTTAGGGCGAATGAAACGAACAAAAAAAATCAGCCCAACAATGAATGAAAAATAAGAATGTGTTTTTCATTTTAGCTTCAATGACACACCCACAGTCAATGGGCAAATAAGAATAACGATGAGCATTTTTTCTTCTTCTTTCTTTCGGTTGAATCGTCGTGATGAAACATGAAAAATTACGCTAATAAACCATATCTCACACATCTCTCGAAATTAGCAACCGAGCGAAAAATTTCCATTCAGAAATGAGAAGAAAAAAAAAACGACGAAAAGAACGAGAGAACATATAATACGATCAACACGATCGATCAACATGTAAATGAACACATAGCCAATTGAATTGAAATAAATAAACAAAATTCTTCAGTAAACAGTTGACAACGATGACGAGCGCGCGCTCACACATTTCATGGCTGTATGCGTTGGACTACTGGTTGGCCGCGGACGCATCGAACAAAATTAAGCCTGTTATTTAAATAAGAAATGTGTGTAAGATTTATTCGTTTTTTTTGGTTTCTATCAACGTTTCAACCGCTTACTTTTTTTTCTGTTGCTTCTTGTTCATACAA